ACTATTCTCAGCCAAGACATGGAACATCCCTAAATCAACTAAATGTCAATTTTACTTTGCTGATTTATCAAAACTGGGATATAATCTGTTAAATAATGAGCTTTACAAGGTCTGGTAGGTGGATTTTGTTACCTAACAACAGAGCCAAGCTATCTGTTTCCCCCTGTCTCCAGTCTTTATGCTAAGCTAGGCTAACCGACGGGCAGCTGCTTATATACTCACACAAATCAATAAATACAGAACTCTCTGGCGCCATTGATGAGTATGGGTTTGAGTGCTCACACTGATGACAGCACAAGTGTCAGAAGTTATCGGATGAAATGTGCCAATATCACCATGACAACAAGCAAATAAAACATGTTATCCAGGAGCTGAGACAAGTTTACAATAAGATATTGTTCCGGCACATTCCAGTGTTGAGTTCAAGGACTTAATCCAAATGCTATCAAGAATAAGTGGACGGTGTTTTACAGCCAACAAGACACAACTATTCTCTCCTCTGTGTATCATTATGAAGTTACAGTGAATACATCAAATAAACAGCAACATCTCTCTCTAATCCTATAGGCCGGGATTTGTTTAGTTAATGCTAAGACCCTTTTGACCCATTTCTGTCACCTCCAGTACATCAGCGCCCACTCAAGACTTCCGAACAAAACACTGGTGCACAACAGCACCCACAGTGTATACACGATAAAACAGATAATCTAAAGGAACCCAGCTCCCAGAGCACTGACAGGCAGCCGTGTGCTTCAGACAATAAAAAAAAAACAACAGGGCATTAATCCTTGAGGGAAATGGAGAACAATGTCTAAGTGGATTACTTGAAGGGTTTCAATAGAAAATATATAGCAAATTTTAGCCTAAAACATAGCAAATTTAATCATTTTGACAATTGTAATGAAAAGATTATTGTATTTTACTAGATTATTGCAAACAATAGAGCTTCAGTTTAGAGAACAAAGCTCCTAAATAGACACAATGCTCCTTATATTTTGAAATAATATGTGTTAAATCATTTATTTTTATCATAATGATAAGATTTCTACTAACCCATCACTAATCACCTCCTGATTATCTACAGTAACTTTCTATTTATAACCACCACATCTCAGACTATAAGCATGGGGCCATACTGCATGGCATTCCTCCCTCGTGATAATTCATTGTCGCCCAAACTATCTCTGAAGAGCAACAAAATGCATTTACAACACAGCAGAGTGACGAGTGCACAAATTAACCCAGTCGAATGAGAGTCAGGAGTAGTGCATTAAAACAAAGGCACACATTGTTTAGCTCTCTTTAACCGAAAAAAAGAGGCTGAATTTAAAGTTAAACTTCAACTTTCTGTCTGGTTATAAACCCCAAACCCCACTACTGTAGTCACAGTCTGACCCTTGCAGTCGTGGCTCAGTGAGAGGCCTGTAATGCAATAAGGATGATTAGAATACAGTACTGACCTTATATACAAAATACTCGCTCCTCTTCTTTATTTCTGGTATCTCCTAAATGAACACCCTTTTAGTTTGTAGTCCGTGTTCAATGTTTGCCCCTTTTGTTGTCAGTTATCCACAGAGTGGACAGATGGTTCCCTGTGCCCTCAGACCGGCTGGAGCGGAGGCTGGCTTTGCTATTAGTCCCTCAGCTTAGCCCAAGATAAGCCCCTACGCAGGGCAAGTGAACCCGCATCTCTTGCCTAATTCTCCCTGTCACAGCCACCAAAGAGGCGTTCCTCCGCACGGAGATCCACAAGCCGAAGGGGCCTGAGGGCAGGGCAAAGAGGCTCTTAGGCTGGACACTGTCCAGCACAGATAGAACGGGCTACAGTTACAACAACCACAACAACAAAATCAGGAAGGTCTAGCCTTTTGCAGTCATCAGAAACACACACTGAAGAGAAGCTTTGTTAACCGATGTTGCCCTGAGCCTAACAACTCTGCATGACTGCTGTGTTCTTCATTAGATTTTCAGAGAGCTTCCTGTCTGCACAGGGCCGGATTTTCTCTAAAAATAAATCTCCCTGTATGAAATCGGTGCTTTGCAGAGAGAACCTGACTAATTGAGGGCTGGGAAGGACAATGTGGTGTTTGAGGTGTTTAGTGATGTTAAGCACAATGTCTTCGTGGGGTGCTTCTCCCCCCTCACTGCCTCTGCCCTCCCCCACACCAAGCCCTTCTGCCCTCGTAATGAGGCCATACTGGATACAATACAGCCCTTCTGCACAGAAAAAAATGTATTCAGCTGAGCTTCAAAATTGTGAAGGAAATGAATCAGTGAAGCATAAGTGGCATATTTAATTACTATTCACTGCGTTGCACGGGGACAATGATGGCTGCTGTGAGCCTCATGGCCGTCTATCAGACATCTACTCACTTTTCAACTAGGATTTCAATGCAACTTCCAAGTTGCATTTCTATGATTAAAAGGATTGAATGTCCTCAAGATAATCCTTTAAAGTGAAGGAAAAGTCCTGAAAAGTATAGTAAAACTAGTGTAGCTCAGTGGCTTTTTGTTTCCAAACTGCAAACAGAATCAAAACCATAACAAAGCTATTGAGGCTGTCAAGGGCAAGGCGTCTGACAAAGTGTGTGACAGTTATTTCTATCCTTTCAAAGACCGTGAGATGATCAGGCATTTCATGCCAATCACTTGTGACTAATTTGCACTCCTTCATGTACCGTGTGTGTCAATGAGATTAAAGAGTCTGGGATTATATGTAATGGGATTACTGTGAAGCGATTACCGAGACTTGTTGGTGTAATCAGTTACTGAATGCAGAGTAGATTTCAAATTAGGAATAGCCTGAAACATGAAAGGAAAAGGGGGTCACTTATTTTACCTCAGCTGAAAGTACAACTTAAGGATGAATATGATAAACACATGGTCCTTTCATCATTATCTGTCCTTAGCTTTAATTACGCTCTGCTGGTCTAGCAGCCTCACATAAAGTAATCATTACTCTGGAATAATGTGAACTAATCAATGTTTTCTAACAGGATTGTGAATGCCAACTGCTTTTAAATAATTTACTCCTTCATGTGCAGCGTGTTTCATTGAGGATAAGAGTCAGGGGTTTTATGTAATTATGTCACAGTGAAGTGATTACTGACACTTGCTGGTGTAATCTGTTACAGCTACAAAAAGGAGGGTAGACTTTTAAATTTGATGAAAAAACGAGGGTAAAGGGGTTGCAGTAATAGTTCTACCATGAATAAATGTCTCGAAAAAGGATGCTTCATTAATTTCATCAATATCTGAGCTTAACTTGAATGTCTATCAGGCACTTCACAGGATTTCAATATAATTTCCATGTTGATCTATTATTAAGAGAATAAAATGTCCCTGTGGGAACTGAGAGATGAAGGCAGTTCTTTAAAGTTGATGATATTTGCGATTTATTACTTTTTAAAATACTTTTTCAGGTTTGGGACTTGGGTTTGGGAGGAGAGATTAAACTATGAAGATCAATAAAAGTTGTAAGATATTGTTGGTATATTTAAAAGCAGTGTAGAGGTTTAAATTTATGCCCTGGAAAACTGAGGAGGATAAGATGAGGATAAATAACTTAGATAAATATGTCTCCATCTTCTGCTGGGCAATAATACAGACCGTTTTCTGGTCTGTTAGCCTGACATAACCCCCTCAAGAATCTGATATATTATCATATGAACCATCATATACCTGACATATAGGCTAGTGTATGTGTCCATGTGTCTCTCCTCAATATCCAAAGAATATATATTAACTCACATAAATAACACATACAATCTTGTCGTAAGATATCCCAAAATATGGAATATACAGATATATTGCTGGGTGTTGGGCACAGGGCTTATAGACATGCAAATGTGGAGAAATGGTGGAGTGACGGGCTGCTATGTAGCGGCGCTCTGGGAGCAGGTAGGGTTAGGTGCCTTGCTCAAGGGCACCTCGGCAGTGCACAGGAGGTGGAACTGGCACTTCTCCAGCTGCCAGTCCACAGACTGAGCTAGCACTGCCCACAAATATGTGTATATATTTTGTTTAATAAGTGCCAGTTTACTCTATGAAAGTGGTATTTTACTTACGGCTTGTAATGTCTTGCAATAATCTGTTGTTTTTAATGTTTATTTTATTTTGGAGCATTAATTGTAATTGTAAATTTGCTCTGTGTGTATTGCTTATATTGTCTTTATTGTTTAGATTAAATAAAGACGTTGATGTAATGAATCATTTTCATAACTTAGATTTTGTTTTAAATCCTGCAGCATCCTTTATCTCTGTGCAATAGAAAACATATCAGATTGTATATGATTCTTTATCTCTATTCTAGTAATGCACAGCCATATTTCCATACAGTTAAAATTACAATATATCCCAAAATACATGTTTTTATGTTGAATATAGACATATATCGCACAGTAGATCCAAACATATATAGATATTAATGTGTGTTGATATAGGAGTATAGCTGCTAAATACCTGTGTAAAAACATATCAAAATATGACATACATATTTTCATTGCTAGGCAGTAACACATTATTATTAATAAAATTACAGTAATAAGATTACTTTCCCCAGTAACTAGTAGTGTAACTAATTACTAATAAATTCCAGTAATAATTACAGTTATCCCCCCAAAATATAATTATTTACAAGACATCCTTGCGGCTGGTAAATATTCCCATTACTTTGATTTTAATAATGTAATGTAACTAATTACAGTTGGCAGGTAGTAATAAGAAAGTAGTAATGAATAAAAAGTAATAAATTACATTCTTTTGAGTAACTATCCCAACTCTGTATGGCAATATATGAATATTTTACATGTGAAACAATAATTAATCTTACATTGTAACTTTACTCTTCCTCTCTCTCTGTGTGTTTTTGTGCCATGTCAGTAAACTATAAACTATGTAGGTTAAAAGTTGTGAGGGGGGGGCGGAGATAGTAAAAATCACATGATTACAGAGCAGTTATTACAACTAGTGACCAAACTCTGTGGGAGTTGAAGGGACTTCTCATATGTCAACATGGCCACAGCAGTAAACAGTCTCGAGCTGCTGTGCACGAGGACTACAGAGGGGTTATAAAGGCTCAGCTGCTGCTCGCGGACTTCAGACCCTGAAAACATCAAGTCAATGAGCATAAAAGCAGTTGTGTGCTCAGCGGTGTGTCTCCGGCTGTACTGTCTGTCTCTCGATCGATGGATTTCCAAACACTGTGCACTTTTAAAAGTTTCGAGCAGGTCTGGAGTCGGTACGGTTATGGGGAGGACTTCCAAGGCGTGATGGAGCGCGAGTTCACACGGATTAAAGGTAACGATTGAGTTCAGTCATGAGTGGCAGGGACAGGGAAGCAGGGGCGGATCTAGAGAAATGTTCATAGGGTGGCCATAAGGTGGCATTAAAAGGCCCAGTGTGGAGCTATTGGCAGACATGGATATCAATAGGTGTGTTTTCATTAGTGTATAATCACCTGAATATAGGAATCATTATGTTTTCCTTCAGTTAGAGTGAGATGTTTTTATCTACAGATGCTGCAGGCAGGGGCGTTTCCAGATGTTTTTGAGTAGGGTGGCACAAGTGACCTCTGCAAGGGTGACATGAAGTATGTGTCTCAGCTTTCCATCATTCCCACTTTATGTGATTCAGATACTGTTCAGGGACCCCAGTATGCAGAAATATTCAAATAGACTCGGCGAAAATAACACTTTTATACCATATGCAAAAAAATAAATGCATGGTTTATGCATGAGACTAGCTTAAAGTGAGAATGTCTACAAAGGGGAAACTTGTGTGTTAGTACTGAACCCATTTCATTCAGATATCTAGGTCAAGGGATCCCTTTGATAATGGCCATGCCAGTTTTTTCCCGTGCTTAAATCTTGCCTAACTTTGGAGTGTCATTAATCCCTCTTCCCGACATGCAAGCATGACATGGTTGGTACCACTGGATGCGTTACAGCATCTAGTTCCATATGATACCTTACAGTTGATACCTGTTACAGCCTCTGAAAGACAGTGCAGAGGGCAAGAGGTAAGGATAGGCCCCCATTTTGGAAACGCCCCTGGCCCTCCATGGAGTCTGCCAGTAGCCTGGAACGAACAAACCAAACACTGGCCGTAGATAGAGTTTCACGGCCACCATAGTTTCTCCGACACACTTCACAGGCTGTTCTCATTCCCACGTTGTCAAATACAGACTCGAGCAGTGTTCAGCTGGTTGAAATCTGAAACTAGATGGCACTAAATCTTAAACGCCGGTCCTTTAAGGTGTGGCACAAATATATAATATCCTGATTTAACTGCAAATAATCACATATATCAGTATTTGCATGGAAAAGACCCGAAATGAATATATTTGAACTCATAAACATTACATTATTGTGGCCCATTAGTAAAGCACTGAATAGAAAGTGTTAATTTCCATTTTTTAACATGTTATTAATAATATTAATAAAAATAAATGTGTTAAATATGACCACATTTGACACCAAACTGGTCAGACATGTTTTAGGTCTGCCCCTGGTTGCCGCAGTAAGCTGAACCTCATGTAGCTGCTCTTTCATTGTAAACAGGGATAACTTATCTGGATCATGCAGCAACTACTCTGTACCCTGAGTGTCTGATCAGGGACTACTTCCAGGACATTTCAAGGAACGTATACGGTGAGAGAAATCACATAGAAATATTATTTTTATGAGTTATTTTTTTATTCACTCATAAAAAGTGTTTAAGTACTGTTATATGTCCCAACAGGAAACCCTCACAGCCATAACCCCAGCAGCAGATTGACACATGACACAGTGGACAGGGTGAGATACAGGTAAAGTCTATTCATGCCCTCAGAGGCCTTTATAATTGGCACATGTGACTCCTTTGAATGAGACTTCGCTGGATCAAATGAGTGAAAAAACTGAACATTTTCTTACAGGGTATTGCAGCATTTTAACGCCACCCCTGAGGAGTACTCTGTGATTTTCACTTCTGGTTGTACAGCCGCTCTCAAATTAGTGGCTGAGAGCTTTCCCTGGAGCCCGCATACTGAGAGCGAAGTGGGGAGTCACTTCTGCTACCTCACTGACAGCCATACCTCTGTAGTTGGCATCAGAGGACTGACTTCTGGCCGGGGTGTAGTTACCCTGCCTGTCTCGCCGCAGGAAGTGGAAAACAGGGCAAAGGATGAGGCTGAAGGTGACGGTGTTGTTTGCCAGACGCCGCACCTCTTCTGCTACCCAGCACAGAGCAACTTCTCTGGAAGGAAGTATCCCCTTAGCCATGTGAAAGGCATCCAGGCAAGACGCCTTTACCCAGCATGTGAGCACCAAGGCCGCTGGTTTGTGCTGCTCGATGCTGCCGCTCATGTCAGCTGCTCCCCTCTAAACCTACAGGAGTGCCCTGCTGATTTCATTCCCATCTCTTTCTACAAGATGTTTGGCTTCCCTACAGGTCTGGGGGCTCTTCTTGTCCGTAACGACGCAGCAGGCATATTAAAAAAGACTTATTTTGGAGGAGGCACAGCAGCAGCTTACCTTTCTGGAGAAGATTATTATGTGCATGCGGCAAACATTTCTGACAGGTATAGTACTGTACAAGCCTGCCAAATCCCTGATATTCTCTTCACAGTTGTTGTATAGCTCCTGCAACCTTATTCTAAAATGCCATGTTTTCCTTCTCCCTGATAAAGATTTGAAGATGGCACTGTCTCTTTTTTGGACATCATTGCGGTAAATCACGGTTTTGAAGCTCTTTACAGGATCACAGGTACTGTAACAATGCATATGCAAGTTGTTCAGAATGATACAGGTTAACATCAGCAGCATTCTTGTCTTCTTCCCTTTTTGTGCCTTCAGGGGGCATGCACAACATCCAACAGCACACGTTTGGCTTGGCACGCTACACTTACATGCTGCTGTCAAGTGTTTGCCATGGCAACGGGCGACCAGTGGCTCAGATATACACTGAAGGCCAGTTTGAGAGTCCAAGCACACAGGGTGCAGTCCTAAACTTCAACCTCAAGGACTCTCATGGACAGATAATTGGGTATTCTCAGGTGGATTTAATAAATATGATTTTTTTTTATTTCACTGTTTAATTACTGCGTAGGCAGAACTGGTAGATATTAAAACGATTCCTCTTTTGCCCTCAGGTTGACAGAATGGCAAGTCTGTTCAATATACATGTGCGCACAGGTTGCTTCTGTAACACTGGGGCCTGTCAGTCCTTCCTCGGAATCACCAATCAGCAGATGAGGAGAAACTTGCAGGTAAGAGATCAAGGAATAGGAAAAATGTCAAAGTGTGTTAAGGGGGCATGTGTAGGTAGAATAAAACATTGTCTTTTTCCTCTTCAAGGCCGGCCACGTCTGCGGAGACAGCATCGACCTGGTGGACGGCCAGCCGACCGGATCTGTTCGCGTGTCGTTTGGCTACATGTCAACATTTGAAGACTGTCAAAAGTTCCTGAACTTTGTTGCAGAGTGCTTCGTAGAGAAACCGCTCACGTTGGACCAAGTGAGACTGGAGGAGTTAAAAACAGCCACAGCAGCGTCCCGGGGCTCAAACGAACATTATCCAATCAAAATCACTAATGGAGAAATATTTAAAGCAGATGAAAAGGAGAAGCCTACAGAAGCATCACTGAGGGGATTTGCACTCAGAGAACCAAACAGCCACGGGGAGGCTTATACTCTGACCAACATCTACATATATCCCATCAAATCATGTGCAGCATATGAGGTTTGAGGATAAGCCAAACATTTCTTCCTCTCACTTATTTCTGTCTCTGTCTCAATTTTTCTGTCTCTGTCTCTGTTTTGATTTAATTCGGCACTGTTCTTCATGCAGGTGCACGACTGGCCAGTGGGACCGCAGGGTTTGCTGTATGACAGAGGCTGGATGGTGGTGAATGGAAACAGCGTGTGCCTGAGTCAGAAGAGAGTGCCCCCTTTATGCCTCATTCGCCCACAAGTCCACCTGCCCTCAAACAAATTGCTCCTGCAGGCATCAGGTCAGACAGTCTGTCAGCGGCTCACTGGAAATAAACACACTGTTTAACCAGAAGAAGTTTCAATCAGCCGTATTTTCTGCTATAAATTCTGTTTGTTAGAGGGTTTATATTTTTTCACATTGCCCTGCAGGGATGGATACCATTTCGGTTCCCCTGGAAAACAGCACTGAAATGCACAGAAGCTATCCAGTGTGTCAGAGTAAAGTTTGTGGTGACAGGTGAGTTGGCAATGTTAAAACATCTGACAGCAGCAGCTGCAGGAAACACTGAGACACATATCATTTGTTGTGTATTTTTCACTCATATCAGTGCATTCTCTCCCTACCTTTCTACAGGGCATGGCATTTTAGGGCCTCATGCTCTCAGTTTTATATGAAAGTCTGTTATTTGCTATTTTTAATGGAGGACGATATTAATATCCTCATATACCTGGATGACTAGTCACAAGTTAACAAAAAGCTATTCATCTAGTGTTTCTTGGATTAGCTGTCGCACCAAATAGTAAGCAGCATCAAAGTCTGTAGATTTCCCTCGGGGGCCTCCACAACATAATCCTCCTCTTTTCTCCAGGGTGGAGACTGTCGACTGTGGGGATGAGGCGGCATCGTGGCTCTCAGACTTTCTTGGACAGCCCTGTCGCCTGATAAGACAAAGTCCTGATTTTACCCGAGGCATGAAGAAGAGGCCTAGTGGAGGTATTAGCATTTCACCTATTTGTGAACCTTGGAGTTATCTGTCATACGGTACACGGGCAATGCAAGGTCGCATTTCCTGCTAATACTACACTTACTAGTTGTTGCAGTGACCTTGTATTCCCTTCTGGTCCCTTGGAATTTGGACGTTTCCTTGTCTGCTTTTGCAGTTACACTGCTTAAAAACACCAGTTTGTTGTGTAAAAGAAATCTGGTGAAATTCAGGCTGAGGGTGGGTGATGTAAGTGTTGGGCATCTTACTTAAAAAAGTATTTAGTTATAGTTACAAATTACTTCTCCCAAAAAGTAACTGAGTTAGTAACTCACTTTGAATTTCCCTGGCTCGTCGCCATTTTCTCTGTCTTGTGTTTATAGCCTAGTAGTTAGAGCGTGCAGTGAGACAGTGTGAGCAGGGCATCTGCCCACCCAGCCAATCATCATCGCATCGCATCAAAAAAGTGGAAACTGTGATTTAAAATGTCCCCACATAGGATCAGCTTTAACACCACCTCTTGGGATTAAGAGTGCTTTAAAATGATTAGCAAGCAAGCAGGGAAGTTGAAACAGCTTAACATAAATGGCTAAATGGTTGAAATAGAAGATAAGGGATCGATTGCTACAATACTAAAGGTTTAAATAACTTAAATCAATGAATAAATGGTTGAAATAGTTGTGGTAGTAGACATATGAATGCAGACTTGACCAAACACTGACATTATTGTCACTTTTATTTTTGTTAATATCCATATGAACATATTTGGAACAAGATAAAGATAGCTGTTTATTATAACATATGATAAGTGATAATTAAGTCTTGACAGAAAATCTTTGGCACTTACTACAGGGAGATTTTTTTGTGATCAAGATGCTTCAAAACAGTAACCCCACAACCCAACGGTTCACACTGAGCTGAGCTTACCCTGATGACATAATCAAGGTAATTCTCTCAGCCTTTAGAAAGCTTCCTCCGGCGCCACAGAAGACATTATACAACTGTTTTCACAGTCTGAGTAGTACTCCTCGTGACAACTAAACAGACCCTAGTGGGTAAAATCAGAGTGCCTCTTTAATATCTATAATCGCATTAGGCCTTCGCTGGCTCTCTTACATCTATGAGCAGCACTTCTGTTTGGCATTATTAAATTCACAGGGCTTTTTTTTTTTTTCATCAATATGATGAATTATTTTAGTTTTTGTGGGGTTTCATTCACTGTGTGATCATATTCCCATCTGGCTATTTTATGTATAAACTGTTTATAAATTTAATCTCTGACATAAGTACTATATCACAGTATACTGGATATCGATATTTGACGAAACAATCTCATCACAAGATCCATTTAGTAGCCGTTCTGGAGATTTTGATCGTATCACACAATCTTTCTCAGCAGATGGCGTTTGCTCAGTTGTCATTGAATTGTAAATGTTTAAATTTACATTTTCAGAGCATTTCAAGGACTTCTTGTTGGCTTAAAAGTTGAGATTGATATTGCTGTATAAAATTACACACACAGTGACACCCACCCATATTTAATGTATTATTAATCGTGAGTGCACATTTTGATCAGTATTGACAAAAGTAAGACTAAAGTCACACATTTTCTACCCTCTGTATCACGGTAGAAGCTCAGTTTGGCTGTTTTAGGATGCAGACTGCTCGAACCAGAGATCAGAATGTTTTTTTTTTTTCTCAAATCAAATAAATCATTGGGGTAATATAAAGTCTTTTCCTCCTAGCTGCCACCTCCTCATCCCTCTCCCTGGTGAATGAAGCTCAGTATCTCATGATCAACCGTGCCAGTGTGGAGCTCATTCAGAAACTAATGAGCAGCAGGTTTGGACACATGATGTGTTATTCAAAATATGCGACGCTCTGGTGAAAAAACATCAGGATGCGTAGACGCCCACACATTTACATTACAGTGGATGATTTGCATACAGAATAACATGCCATTTCCACATTCCCTTCCTCAGACAGGACGATTTTGAGGGCGATCGGCTTCTTGACACACAGAATGTCATTAGCCGCTTCCGAGCCAATTTAGTCATCGCTGGAGTAGAACCATTTGAGGAAGATAATTGGTCACACTTGATTATTGGCAACACTCGATTCGTGGTGAGCTGACACTTTGAGATGAATGATGAAATCTTCAAATGCACTAAAAAGGATTTTTTCTCTTAAAACAAAAATATGAATGTTCTCCCTGTGGGATTAACCGAAAAGGTCGCAGGTCAGTGTGGAAGATGCCAGATGGTTGGAGTGGACCAGGACACTGGGACCAAAACAAAAGAGCCGTTAATGTCTCTGTCAGCCTGCCGCACCGGGAAGGTCAGCCCAAAACAACTGCTGCTCGTTCATGTAGATGCTATGTGTGTAGCTATGTGAAGTGCATGGGGCATGACAAGATAAATCACTTTGCCTGTTGTTTTATACATTTCTAGGTGACTTTTGGTGTGTACCTGACCCATCAGCTACCAGAGGGCTCCACTACAGCGAATGTCCTCTCTGCTGGGTCACCCATATATCCAGAGCCACACAGTTCTTGAAGAAGTCATCCGTGAGATCCTCTTTATTTATTTTGGTGACACTTTTTTTTGTCCTAAGGGCTCATTGTTCTGCTGTGCGTCCCAAAGATCACCTGTCAAACACTGTGGGGAGTTTCTATAGACGCTGCTCTTTTCTTTGTGTGTGTAGCGCTAGTGGCTTTTGTCCTCTTAGATGTCCTTCTCATACCAAAGCATGAGATTATATTCAATTCAAGTCTGTTTTGATGGAAAATGAATGAGATTTTTGGATTTTTTCCCCCCAATGATTTCATTCCAAAAATATGTGCAATATAGTAGATGTGAAAAATTATTATTTGGATGTATTACTGCTATTCGAGCCAAAACATGTCAGGCTTGATGCAATAATCGCTGCTCATGTTAACCTCCCAGACAGTTCTTCCTTTGTTTATTCCCATGGAGGATTATATTGCTATTTATTCCGAACACACCACCACTGTGCTGCCAGAAATATGAAACATATTGCTCTCTGTAATGGAAAAACCTACCAGACACTGTGATCAGTATGTGCTCCTCATGTGCTGCAGACTTGGACATCCAATTTCATTCAAGAAAAAGTAATAAATTAATGTTAAGAGGGTAGAAAATGTGAATTTAATTAATCCAAGTGGCATGCTTGTACATAAAGTACGTATGTGCTAAACCGTTCTCGCAGTAAAATTGCCCCTGTGTATTGTGCACATATGGTGTAGTTGTAGGTTTAACGTGGCTGCTGTGTGCCCCAAGGTTTGGTACTGTTTGTAGAATGTTTGCAAATCTGTGCCCACATTAAATTAATATGTATAAATGTATCCACAGATTGGATAAGGTAGATAATGGCACTGGGGATTCCAAACAAACCCAGATGGAGATAGATGACGAATTAAAGCTGTGACCCGCCAAAGTTTAGATAATTATTCAAGATAAAAACTTTCAAGACAGCCTTGTCCTGCATCAGAAAAATATGCAGTTAGAACTACAGAGAGATAATAGAACAATAGGGCAAGCGTCAGGGAGAATAAAAAACTGAATTTGTCAAAAAAAGAAGCATATTAAGTCTGAATGATTGTTAAAATATAAGAGAGTTGTATAAAAAGTTACTAAAAATATTAGGAAAACGCTCATATCTGATGCATACAGGAAATAATTGCTCAAAATTCATCCAAATTGTTTGTTGTACACAGACTTCCTGCAGTTATTGTGTTCACTATTTGGGTTCATTGCATTGAATATAATATGAAAAAGCCATAAAATATGGATAGGGGGGTCAGGGGTCGTCAGTTTACTCAATGATAGAAAATAGATCCCTTTAGGAAAAAGGTTGGGAACCACTGAATTAAAGGGAGTACCTACATAAAGTGTCTTAGTGAGGATTTGAACTACCATGAGCATCCAGAACAGCTTCAGTGCTCTTTGGCATTGAGTCTCCAAGTCGCTGGAACTCTGCTGGAGCGATGAACACCGTAACTCTTCCAAAAGATATTCCCTTGTATGGTATTTTTAAAGGCCAGGATATGATTCATGTCATTTCAATACTCATTAAAAGCCTTCAGTGACTCATCTACTCTGGTTTTTCCTTTAAAATGTCACCAAGTTCTACCTCTACAATCATCTCCTACTGGTGCACAATCTCACTGTTACTGTTATTTATTATCTTGTCCTGTGAACGTGAACAAAAAAGACAAAAACAAAGAACAGGCAGGAAACCAACAGACAGATATTTGGTTACAATAATGTGATCCCATTGTTTCTTAACCATATCATTTTGTCAATTCAGTCTTCCCAGCATCTTTTCACAAGCAACAACTTCCATCGTTTGTTCCCTCCACATTTCCCAACATCTTAGAATCAACTGAGAACACGTTATTGATCCAGCTGTTATTACTCTAAATGAAAATGTACTCAACTGTGGTGCTGTAGTGTTGTCCCAGAGGAGACATACTGTAACCTTGGTGACCTTAAACCCATTTTATTTAGTAGTGCTGGGGTGTAGTAATATATGTGAAGTATTTTGTATTGAATACATTTGCCTCTGGCTTCTCTGGCGTATTTTTTTTTTTATCATTGGAAGGAATCCGCTCCCATATTGCTTCATCAAATGTACAGCCCAGGTCTTTTTCCCCATATCATCCTCATTGTTGTTTACCCAAGGACATACCTCATACCACTTTGATGCTTTATGAAACATGTTGGCAGCTGTAGGTAGAGCTCTACCGTGTTGGTATGATGGAAGTGAAGTTTCAGCTTTAATACAGTGTGTAATTATGAAACATTTCCAAAGATGGCCTTCTGCGAATAGGTCATTTAATATTCTGCTACCTTGTATTTCCTGTGAATGTTTGATGTCTGAAATAAACTGAACTAAAGAATAATTGAGGTTGCAGGAACCGAGCCAAATAATTATTTTTAATTAAATAAAAATGTATTTTCCTAGACATAAAGTACCTTTGGGTAGTCAGCCTTCTCCTATCTCTCAACTCGAATCTATAAAACTGTGGTTACTGAATAATCAAATGTGCTGTCATAAGCTGGAGTAGTGCTTCTGTCATTGTCTGTGCTTATATGCTTTTCTATCCTTTCCTGTAATTTCCTTTATGTGTCATGTGGTTATAGGACATATAGGAGAAATCAGTATGGCCATTGTGTTCCTGTTGTTTGTTCTTATGTGCTTTTATCTGTGCTTATGTGATTTTGTCTGTACTTATCTGCTCTGTATTTATGTGATTTTATCTGTGCTTATGTGCTTTTTTGTATATTTTATTTTAATGTGTCTGATATGCCATCAACCCGCCAGGGACTGCAGATGAAAAATAACCCTGTGTGGCTAAATCTGGCACATTTACTGTACTAATTAATGTACATTGTCCCTTTTTTTAACAAATAAACAAATAAAAAAAAATTATTTATATTTTATGCAAGTTTTAAATGCATTGCATGAGTTTGCTTTTTGTGTCACATAACTTTCCGACCAGTACAGTATGGAGGACTGAAAGTGCCACAATTAAATAAATAAATACACCATTAAATAATTACTTAAACGTGTCATTAATTAATTAAAATTGGAATTAAATACATAAATATGATATTAAATGTGTCATTAATTAATTCAAATACCGATTAATTTAATGTAAAATACATATATAATTATTTCACTATTTACATTTACATTTCATGGTCCTGCGTTGCAGTGCTTCATGAATTACTTAAAACTGTCAAACTCACCCATCAAATCAATTCCAGATAATGGATCGATGCAGAGCTAGTGAACACATTCCAATACACTGGGTGGCGCTATTGGACTACTTCTTCTAAATCTGCAGTGACTCTGTGGTCAATATCTTGGTCAGAAAGTGTGGAAATAACTCCAAGAACTTCAGTAAGTTCCTCTGCTTTACTCGCTACATGCTCTGGGTCAGCAGCTCCTGCTTCCACATCCTCTGCTAAGTCTAAAAAATAAATGTTTAACTTTGAAAAATAAAGTGTAGCAGCAGCTTGAGTTTCCCTTTTTCTTTGTTAACTGTTTCATATCTTGATTAACAGTCTCAACAAATTTTATAAATGAATATCAACACATCTTTACAATTGAACAGTTTCTCTTTCTTTCCCTTTTATATCTTTCTATACACTTTCTGTTGTTCAGTGAGAGAATCTAACCTCTCTCCCTCGTTGGGCAGTGAATGAATGGGTCAGGATCAGTGTTGGTCATCTTACTTTAAAAAAGTAATTAGTTATAGTTACAAATTACTAATCCCAAAAAGTAACTGAGTTAGTAACTCAGTTACCACATTGTAAAAGTAATTAGTTACTCAGCAAAGTAACTGTAACGTTATTTTTATGGTCTATAATTACATTCTGTAACATCTTCTATAAAGTTAAAGATGTTTATTATCACTGAATAAAGAATAAAAACACTATATACAGTATTTTAGAACATTTGGTATTTATTTGAACTCAATAGATTACAGCCAGCCATATGCATAGAAATAAAAATATATACAAAATAAATATTGAAAACAAAATTCACACGTTACATAAACATTCTTGCCTTTAACTTCAGTAAGCCAGTAGTAGTGTCAGTACTTCCAGTTTGATATCACTACCTTTGAATTTCCCTGGCTCGTCGCCATTGTCTCTGTCTTGGCATCCGCCCACCCAGACAATCATCATCACCACGCTGCCCTCTGCTGGCAGCTGATGTGTGGCTGTCAGAAAGCCTGACACCGCTGCACTTCATTCACCACATTGTAGGAACGCAAGTAACGCGCCACTTTACATTCTCAGTAACGGTAACGGCGTTACAACGATGGGAAAAGTAATTAATTAGATTACCCCGTTACTGAAAAAATAACGCCGTTATACTTAAACGCCGTTACTCCCAACACTGGTCAGGATACTGGTTGACTGATCATATTGGGATCTGAGACTGCTTATTTTCTGTGGCCTTGTTCAGACTTGAGTGGGTATGTTTGATGAAAACTTTGTGTTTTGTCTCATAGTGGCGTTTCACACTGGCACTTTTAATCAGCGCCACGGTCTCTGAACATGAGACACACTGGTTATGTGCTCCCAGGGGGAAGAATGAATGTGAATGAATCTGTCCATTAAAAGCTCAATTTTCTATCCACTTTTCTCTTCTTAGAGAGCGCCATAAATCTTCTGTTGTCTCCCGCTCACTCATCTCTCCGTTTCCTCTCCATGTATCTGTGACTTCTCTTTCCGTCTGTCTCTCCTCTCTCATCGCTCTCATCTCTGTATTCAGTCGCGCTGTTTAAACAGATTTGATTGGCTGAGCAGCATCAAGTGGGATGGCTTAACTAGCATGCGATTGGTCTGTGAGCTTCCTGATCTGCTAAACAAATACCGTAAAGACTAAAAAAGCTGTGCTGGTTAAAATAGAAGCTCCCCATCAAAATTTAGAATCCTCAATAATGAATTGATTATAGGTCTGGGATTCGCATAGGACGGTGTCTGGGTCCAGACTCGCCTGTTAGCGACCTCTGCCCTAGAAAGTTCATGAAGATCTTCCAGGCACTCTACTTCAGACCAAAGCAATGGATCAGGTTAGATTCGCGTTGGCCCCACCCTCTGAGTTTGATGGGTGAGTTTGACAGTTTTAAGTAATTCATGAAGCACTGCAACGCAGGACCATGAAATGTAAATGTAAATAGTGAAATAATGATATATGTATTTTACATTAAATGAATCGGTATTTGAATTAATTAATGACACATTTAAGTAATTATTTAATGGTGTATTTATTTATTTAATTGTGGCACTTTCAGTCCTCCATAGAACAGATGGTATCAGATTTGTTGGTACAATAACAGGAACTGGTTAACAGTTAACAACGTTATGGTTGTTGTATTTAAGGTGGCGCCGCGTTTATCATAGAATGTTTGCTATAAAATATATTGTATTTAAAGCGGCGCCACCTTAAAAAACCCAGGTTCCTCCCCCGAGTTAAACTGCACTTTGACCAAAACTTCTTGTTAGCCGCTAACAAACTGCTTGACGGGGGCCAGACGATTGAATATAGTTATATATATATATTAAAGTTTATTTCCAGTGACTTATACTGACGTTATGGTGAGGAACCGGGTCGTTAAACAGGATGGTTCATCCTCCACAGCCAGCAAAGTCCAGAGGTCTGCCCGAGTCGAGAGGAAAGAGCCGTGAGTAAGCGTCACTTATCATTAGCTCACAACTAACAGCTGTTGGGTGAAGCGTGAGGAAGAGGTCGTAATATGAAGGATTTCTGCAGAAAGATCACTCTGCACATAAGTATCAACCAACCAAGATCAACCAAGTTAGTAATTATTTGTAACTCATCTGTTGTAGTGATCAGAGCGAGTGACAACCCTGCAGGTGAGAAGACAACATGCAGCTCAAAGTGCTTCACATAGCACAATTAAAGCAAAAAGGAACAATAAATAACATTTAGGAGGTCCAAAATAATGTAAAAACCAATTATTTAAACTTAAAACTAAGCATATAACAGCCAGGTTAAAGATAAAGGTCTTTATTTTCCTTTTAAAAATACAGAGAGAGCTCATCACAGTTATATCCAGAGGTAGTGATACTTGCAAATGATTAAATAATAGATGTTTTTTGCTGTAGGTGCTGGATAATATATGGTAGAGCAAGATACAATAGTGAAAGAACATCCTAAGTATAAAAACACCTCAGATCCTAGAGTAGCCCTCTTGGACTTTGTTATAAACATTTAATATTCTGTGGTAAAAATACTTTTTAATAAATATAAAAAATGTTGGAAATGTGCATTTATTGAAGAAGCAGACACCCCTAATGGAAATGACACTAATGGACACAGGGAGGTGTGTTGTGAATTTGATTTAACATCAAGGACTGAGAAAAAATATCACTAAACTTTAGTTAAAGTTATAAATTATCATCCTCATACCCAAGTTTTGGTTGTAAACCTGAGTTATTTGGTAAAATGCATCCCCAAATGACCAACAAAAGTTGCCTCACATCACACTGCAGTTGTGCCATCATTAAAAATCTGGTTTGAGCTTTTTGGACTTTCTTTGGAAGCTAATAGTAAAGTGAAAGTGTGAACTCTGGACGGATGAGGCGACAGTTTGATGGCTGCTGAAATGAATGACCTCCTATACGTTTCCCTCGAGCTGTGTGGAGAAATCAGTCCTGGACTAAGAGGGCTCTTCTGGCTGATTAGAGTGTTAATGGAGGGGGTGGGATGTATTGTCCATTAATTGGCAGAAGTCTGAATAGCATCCTCTCTTCTGCTGTTGCCTCGAGGGATTCAAGACGGACTCCAATGACAGCCTGCCTTCTTGATTAGATTATTCAGTTCTTCTCTCCCATATTAATGTTTCCATATTAATGCTACAACCACAGACTGGTCGGACATGTGTGCAAGCAGCTCTGTATTGTATGTGCCAATGGGCCTGAGTGTACATTGCCATGTTCTTCTACATCTGTTGTCAAATCTGCCGGTTTGGAGCTGTGGTTCTTTTTGCACAACTCAACAAAAGTTATCCACTACATGGTCATCCTCAGGTGTTACCACAAGTGACTGTACTGAACACCCACTTTCACTGACTGAAACAGTAGATTTTAGCAGTAGAGCGGTGATTCACAGTCACAGAAACAACCGTAATCTGATAACTCTGTCAGAAATAATAGGCTGCTGAGCTATTAACCTTATGTTATTAACCTACTGTATTATTATGTGCACTGCTTGTAATAGGCTAGTTTTGTACTTAACTTAATGTGACAGCTTGGACTAGCAACAGACACAAAACGTACTATTGAACTGAAGACCGTCAGAATCAGCAGTGAACGCTGGGCCGTATTAACGGTGATGCATTTACTTACTAACGTAGACACTGAGGCGCATTTGAATGGTGATGTGACGGCTCCGCTTAGGAAAGTGATTTGAATCTGCAAAGTGATTCGTGATTTCCATCCTGAGCGCCTCACATTCACCCTCCGCAGCCAAAATGGATCGGAGCTGAAGTCAGATATTTAAGTGGGTGATGAGAAGAGGTGAGAGTGAAACTTTTCCAATGTTGCTGTGGTGTGGATTTGGTGTTGTAACACTTGTTTAAATTGGACGTGTTGATAGGAGAGTGTGAGCTGGCTCTGAAGAAGGGTGCTAATCAGTTTATTTCAGTCTGTTCTTGTTTGGCTTAGTTATAAAAATCACAATACAACAAATATTATTAATAATACTTCCCTAAAGAAGGGTCATCTGCCTTTACTGACCTAAGATATGTAAGATAATAGTTAGATGGTCTGTAACCACATTTGTTTTATCTCTCTGTCTGTTCTCAGGTCCCGGTGGTGGCTGAAAGGAGGCTTATTGGCTCTCTTTGTTATTTTCATTTTGGTGCCTTTCTCGCTGAGAATACTCCCAGAATTAATCCAGCACCTTGTTTACGCTCAC